CTAAGACATAGGTTTGAAGTATATTGTTCTTTTAAAACATGAGTATTAATGTACTTAATTTAATTCTTAAATATCAACTGATCTTATATATAAGAAGTAATGTCATATATAAGGTCATACTATCTATATAAACAAAAGCCTAAGCGACCAGCCAACCAGCTAACCCTCCGGTATCTATGACACACAATGACCACCAGGGGAAGGCACTCAATGCACAGACATGGAAACAGAGAACAGACTGATGAATCTCAGAGGGAAGGGAATATGGGAGAGGGCTGGAAGAGATTAACCAAAGATGATATATGCATACTATGCATACTAGAGGCCCAATGCAAGGATTCAAGCGCTGGTGGGGGTCCCGTGGCCTGGCTTACAGGGATGGGTCCGAAACCAGCTCTGCAACATCCCCTGAGATGTCCCAGATTGCAAGAGGGTGCAGGTCAGGCCAAGGGACCTCACTGGTGCACAGATTGCACCAGGCCTCTAATAAAGTATTAACTAACATAACATAAGATCTGATTGGGATGTTTTATAGTTTTACTCTCCTAAATTTGAGAAAACTAATATGCTATGATCTCATTAACAAAACTGAGGAAAATTATAAATTATTTTTATCCTACTATAATATTCATAATTTATAATCCTTATTACTATTTCTCTTTTTATTAATATCATTTCTTAGTCTCAGAAAGTAAACTCAGTTTTTATTGTTTTAAAATAAAGAAGTAGGAGGAGAAGGAATATGCATATCAACCTTTTATTACCTATGGATTATCTTATGTTGGAGATATTTCATTAATTAAAATGTAATATAAATCATCAAAACTTGTTTTGATGGTTTGTAAACAAACCTTAAAGTTACATTTAAGCAAAATTGATTTTAGTTTCCATTTGAATATAGTATTCATAGTATGTTTGTTTCATTCTCCAAAATTGTACTAACATGTCCCCACATTCACTCTCTGATCACCCAAAGTGGTCCCCACCTGCTATCTTAACATGCTCTATTTGATGCTTTTGAGCAAGCATTCATTTTCATGAGAATTTTTCTTGATGACATGTCATATGCCTGAAAAAACTAGGCAATCACTCTGATTAGGTAGTAGGATGGAACAAACACAACAAAGATCGAGAGGTCCTGGTCCTAGCTCTGCCACTTACTGCTCTGTCTGCCTTTAACTTATTACTTTGCATCTCTGAATATCACTTTCCTTTTCTGAAAAATGGGCATAATAATACCTGTTCTATCTACCTCACAGACTGTAAGGGAACAAATGGAATTGTAAAAAGTAATATAAATTAATTTTTAAATGCTCAGACTATTGTCATACATTGGTACCTGTTCCTTTTGTAAGCCATTGTCTCTTACTAGATTTCAGACACCAGAAGCATGCAACAGAGTAGAATCAAAAAAAGGGGCAGAGGGAAACAGGACACAAAGAATGTGCACAACTTTGACATTTAATGATTTTGTGAATGCACTAGGCATGGAGTAGGAAGCGCATTCAGCATATTCTTTGAAAAATAAATTATAAGAATTTAGTATTAAATTCATTTTAGTTTGTTTTTGAAAATTAGAATTTTTTATGTGGACAGTTGATGACTCTGCAGTTTTAAAAAAATATGATAGGAAAACAATCTTTCCTGTGAAAGATTTGAAAACAATGAATGAGAAAAATATCACTGAAAAGTATATTTATTTATAGTCATCATCTCAGGACCTTTATCCATCTACAAAGATTAATACCATGATGATGTATATATCACTGATGCTTTGTAGAATCAACATGTTATAAACTATACTAGAGGCCCAGTGCATGGATTCGTGCACCAGTGTGAACCCTCGGACTGGCCCGTGGGGATCTAACCGAAACTGGCTCTCTGACATTCCCTGAGGGGTCCTAGATTGTAAGAGATGCGAGCCAGGCCAAGGGACCCCACCGGTGCATGATCAGGGCTGGAGAAGGACCACGTGATGGCTCCAGGACATGTCTGATCCATCTCACCCAGTCCTGATCAGCAGGATCCCAGCAGCAAGCTAAACTACCTGGTGGTCAGTGCATGTTTTAGTGACTGGTTCAACAATATAATGAAAGGTTGGAGGGACAATTAGCATATTAGGCTTTTATTATTTAGGATAATAAGATTAGTGAAATTAGCTAATGTCTCTTTATACTAACACAGATGTGTATTTCATTGATAATATTCATCATCCATTCACCTGAACCGCATTCCACATCACCCTGTGTTTTTGATGTTTTTACCATTTACTCCATTAGGCCCACCATTTGATTCAGCTTAATGATAGTATGATCCAACATGGCAAAGGGCCTGGAACCCTGGGTATGCAGTGATCAGGAACCCATCACATGCATATCTTATGGTAGTCTACTATAATACAAGAAAAAAACTGCTATATTTATCAAATTGTTTATGTTTTACACATCAACCCTACTTTTGTTAAATACCTGGGTACATTTTTTGCTGCATAAGCAATTAACTAGATGACTTTATTTAAAGAGTTCCTATGTTAGTAGGTTGAACCTCATGTGATCCATTTTTCAAGCTTTTACTTCTTTTTTTTTTTTTTTTTTTTTTTTTTTTTTTACTGTTGTCTCTTCTTGGGAGCTCACTCTTCAGAACCAACCAACTCTCAATATACTCATGGACAGGCCAGTGCTGAAGGAGAAGGAGAATCTTATCCAGAATCAATAAGAAAACCTAATAATAAATAGTATTCAGGCTGGAAGCAGGCCTCACTTGCTGTTGAATCATTAGACTCCATACACATAGCTGTGTGAATGTATTTGAGGCCCAGTTTATGATTTTCTTTTGTGTTAGTCATGGATATTTAAAAAACAAAACAAAACAGCCAAGCATACCAGATTGTTAGGTATGTTTGTAGAACAACAGTAAAGCAATAACAACAACTACTAACCCTTCTTAAAACTTAGTTTGTATCAGATATTATTCCATAAACTGTTTCATATGTAGTATCTCAGTTGATCCTTATAACAACCCTAATTACCCCTACTTTAAAGATGAAAAACTGAGACCAAGAGAAATTAAGCAATTTGTCCAAGGCTCTACATCTAGCAAGTAATAACACCAGGATTTAACCTTGGTAGCCTGACTCCAAGTTCATACTCTTAATCTCTGTGCTGTGACACCTCCCAACTAATCTCTTCTAGAGCCTGTTCACCTCTCCATCAATCTCAAGCTCCTTTCCTTGCCTCTGTCACCCCTGAATAAAAGTGAAATGATGTCCTGGTTAGAATTTTTTTTTTCCCCTTCTCCTCACCTCTTCCTCTTACTTGAGTAAATTTCACTACCACGAAAGATTTGGGAGAATATATGCTATCTCACTGAGATATCATTTGACATAAAGTTAACAATAACCTACTAAAGCTAGCTTAAACTAAGAAGGAATTTATGGGAAGATGTAGCCTTATCTCATGGAACCCAAAAGCAAAAATAGGCCCCAAGAGGTAATAAAAGCAAGAACTAGTATATCAGAAGCTAGGATTTCTTCCTTTTTAGACATATGTGTTAGATGTCCAAGGGGAATAAGGGATACATACCCACCCTTTTCCCACAGGGTGAGAAGGGTGTCGTCTTGGACAAATATTCTTCAAAAGGGTCGTTTTCTGTACTCTGTCATTTGAAGGGAAATGCAGGTGCCGTGCACATTGCCCAGTTGCTTTTATGGATTAAAAATATTAACTAAACAGGCCTTTTGAGCTATTCCCTGCCTTCCTGTTTCTCCGTAAACCCCAACACTCGTCCTTTTGTTTGTTTTTCTCTCACTTATTTAATCCTAAATTAGGCCTTTGCAGCCCTCCTAACATGCAGAGGATAAGACTCTTGACTTCACTCCATCTCTTCTTCCCAGGTCTTTGACCCGTGCAGTCAAAGGGGCTGGTACACTTGTCTTTTTAGTTGACTCTCAGGAATCTGCCTAGTTTCAGTACCTAATATTCATCCTGTCCCTATAACATCTCTAAATGGTTCATATGGTCTCTGCTTTCCTTGTTCTTTTTTTTTTTTTTTTTTTTTATCTATCCTTTCTTTTCTCAGGAAACACCTACTGGCTCCTCTTATTTTTAGTGAACCTCTCGCACCTATTTCCCGTTAAATGAAGTCCAAATTCTTGAGCTTGAGGACCCTCCAAGATGTCTTACTCCATCTTTCCCAGTCATTTAAAGTCAAGTCCTTTACTCTAGCTCATTTATTTCCCCCACTGATCTAGAAGCACCACAGGCTTCATCACAGGCTGATCCTCTTTTCCTATTCCTTTCTACCTTTAAAAATCCAGCCCATTTCTCAAGACCTGACTGACTTAGGTTATATGGTAGTCCCTCTAAAGAATCTTACATGGGCCGAAGCCTGTTTGACTCAGTGGTAGAGCTTCGGTCTGCGAACTGAAAGGTCAAGGGCATAAAAATTGGTTGGGGGGGGGGAGGTGTGCAAGAGGCAACTGGTCGATGCTTCTCTCTCATCGACATTTCTAGCTCTCTATCTCTCTCCCTTCCTCCTCTCTGTGAAATATCAATAAAATATATATTTTTTTTTTAAAGAATCTTATATGATATCTCCAACACACAGCAAACAAGTGTCCTGGTTTGCCTGGGATTTCCTAGGACATATGACTTTTAGTACAAAAGCTGGGATATTCCTAGGCAAATTGGGATGGTCAGGATGCCTATCAATACCTCATAATTTCCCCTTATATGTTACCCTGTTAGATAGAGAGCAAAAGAAAAAAGAAGAAAACCCTGTGAAAGTGCCAGTAGCCATTACTTCTGTGCTCATAATTCTTTCTCCATATTAAGAGTTATGCTTCTGTTGGGCAGAGACCCTTAGATTCCTACTTTGTACAGAATATAGTGCTGTGCTCAGGTTAATGCCTACTCAGTGAATAACATGGTTTAGTTTAAAGTGGGCACTATATCTAAAACATTTTCCTTGTGTATTAATGTGTTTGTCTTTGTTTTTTCCAGCCCAGATGACTTACTCAATGCCTTGAATGAGGGTATCAGTCGTGCTGATGTCATCATCACATCAGGGGGAGTGTCCATGGGGGAAAAGGTATGAAAAATGGGGATCATGTAAATTTATTTACTATAATATCCTTTCATACAATTGATTAACTGTAATCTGGCAGCTCTCTTGGACATAATGAGACTCCCACAAAGATGAAAACCCCTGGGGCTTCAGAATTTTCTGTGCATACAGAAAGGGATGCTGTCTAGGTCAGAGAGCTTGCCTCAGAAGCAGCATTGAAAATCCCACAACTTGCATTATGATTTTGGTCTTCTCTTGGAGATTTCTGGTTTTTTGCTCAATCAACTTTAGTACATTAGGACTTCCTTTTATGTAATATTTACTCCCAAGTTAAAACTCCAAGATCCTTCCTTCTACTTAAATTTAAATTATAGATGACCTTGCCCCCCTGCTCTCCCACACACATATTTCAAACTTGGTTACTCACAAAGGAGAAAGAGAAGATTAGGTATTCCTTTGCCCTACTTGAAAAATAATCGTAATCATAATCATCATAATAATGAAAATAAAATATAAGCATGGATATAACTATATAGGATTTTATAAGACTAAGTATATTTGCATATGATATATGCTTATTCCTATAAAATTACAATTTGATTATCTCAGTATCATTAAATTTATACATATGTCTAAATGAAATGTGTTGGTCCATGATTATTATTGGATTCATTGAATAATCTTATAAAAGTGAAATATTCTTTATTGCAATAACCAACCTTATGTTTGGCACAATAACATTTCAGATCACAAAATATTTTGCCAATGTATAATCTCTTTCCATTTTTTTATTAAATCTCATATTAATGACTGAACTGAAAATTATAAAAATATTGTCATAATAGCAACTTTTACTAAAATTCATATTTTCCAAATGCTTGATATATTTTTAGCTAGATCTTATGTATATGAATGTTCTTGGACCCTACATTCACTTACTAAGAAGCTGCCTTAAACCATAACCTGACTCTTTCAACGGTGAATTCTCTAGGCTCTGAGAACAAATGTCAGAATTCAATAAAAAATTTGTTATTCCCAGGGAGTATGTCATGTATAACTTATATTGATTATTCATGAGCTTAATTGTAGGACAATAACTATTTGTCAGACCTAAAGTTTGTCTTTCCTAATATTTCTGAAGAGGCAAGAAGTTATAACTAACCAAGATGTTATTTATCCTAGGGCTGTCCTCACAATTAAACAGAGCCAATATAGTAAGGCCTATTGCTTTTCTTTATAAAGGAGCCAATGAAAATTGACTCTTTCAAAGTTGCTTCCCTCAAAATCTCTCCTCACTGCTACCTGCCTTGCTTCACACAGACTTTTTAAAGAGTTCTTATTTTTATAAAACACTGAAAGTTTCAGATAAACAGAATCTGCTTTCTGTCCTGAGAACTAAAGAATTATATGAATTACTATAAATTTCTACAACCTGCAAAATTGTAAAATATCTCAAAAACAATGAATGGTGCAGATAACCAAGAAGAATATACTTAGCCTGGATACCCAATAATATTTTTTTTTGCCTATTTAACAGTCTCTTAAGTTTTCTTAATAGTGTCTCCATTACCTCATCTTATCAAAATAATCACAAATAGTTTTGATCACAAAAAAAGGGTAGTCTCATAGGCTTACTCTAATTATTTGACAGCAAGACTGTTCATTAATAATATAGGCCTTGAATTTGTTATAAATTTATAGTTAAACAGCTATAGAATATTAAAACTAATCAACAATATTCTGAACAAATAAATACAGTAAAATCTTTCCTTATAATTTTATTCAGCCCTATATCATTCCCACTCTGCTAGATCTTGGGTTTGCAGCCTGTTTTCATGAAACAATCTGCTTCTATTCTCAAGAGTCCTGGGATTCCTGACTCAGTTCACTGGTTCTGTATAAAAGTTATCTAAGCTGTATCTAAGCCTGTACCCAAAACTATTCTTTGAAGTATCAGTATTTCAATGTTCCTCTGACATTCCTTCCTCGTGCTCTGAATCTGCCTTTGTTGCAGATACAAACTATTGACTGAAGCTTATAGCTGAGCCTACTGCAAGCATCAGAGTAAAACAGAAACTCCATAGATAGCAGATACTTAATGGCTATGCATCATTTGATGCTGTAATCAATAGTATCAGAATAGAAGATAAGTAAAATTCTCTATTGGGATATAGTATCGAATTTTTTTCCTTTTTTTAATGTATTTACTAATTTCAGAGAGAAAGGGAAAGAGAGAAATAGAAACATCAATGAGGAGAGAGAGAATCATTGATCAACCGCTTCCTGCACACCCCACATTGGGGATCAATCCCAGAACCCAGGCATGTACCCTGGCTGGGAATTGAATTGTGACCTCCTAGCTCATAGGTCAACGTTCAAACACTGAGCTACCCCAACTATTTCATAAAATTTTTTATCAGTGTTTTCCCAGAGAGTAAAAGCATAGTGGATACTAGGGCATTGTCAAATCTCAAGGCACTTTCCATAAAGCATAAAATTTCTGAAGTAGTTATTTTTATAACATTTTACCTATAAGAATCATGCTTTAGAGCACACCACTGACTATCTCTTCTCAGATATAACAGCAACCCCCTTCCCATAACACTCTTAAAATTGGGAAACTATTGGACAAACATAATTATTCCTAAACATCTCTTTTTATAAGATGAAAGCACAAATCTTTATGATTTCCTAAAAGACCCTCTATAAAATTTGAAAGATAGTTTCAGGTGTAAAAGATATTTTGAAGTTTTGTTTTTGTTTTTCTAAATTTAGGCCTGATTTTTATTTATTTTTTATTTTTTTAAACATATTTTTATTGATTTCAGAGAGGAAGGGAGAGGGAGAGAGATTAGAAACATCAACGATGAGAGATAATCATTGATCGGCTGCCTCCTGCATGTCCCCTACTAGGTATTGAGCCCGAAACTGGGCATGTGCCCTTCAGTCACAGGCCAATGCTTTATCCACTGAGCCAAACCAGCTATGGCTGAACCACAGCTTTTTAATTATTTACCTTACTAACTATAGATAACAGGTTTTCTCACAGACCCTTGGAAACTGGAGGATGTGCTGCAAGAAGAAAAACAGGACTGTAAAAAGATTAGATGCCTTGGAGCCCAAATGGGTCTATTACTCAGGAGAAAAAAACTCATGTTTTAAATGTAGACCAAGGACGGGACATGCTTTGACTCGATTGCTGTGCCTGAACTCTGACCCCCTCAGGGTAGGCCTGGTTTTTAGAAGGCAAAATCAAAAGAGTTGTCAAAAAAGAATTGGGTTCCTGATTTAAATAGGATCATAGTATCTAAGAAACTACTTAGTTACCTAATTTTCAAACAACAAAGAAGTATTTTAAATCAATCCTCCCACCAAGAACAACTATAAAAGCTATATTAATTTTTTTAATTTTTAAATAAAGGAAAAGTTAGGGGAAAAAAGTAAGCTGCAGAAAATTAAAACTGGAATGCTTCCTTTTTCTTCAATGCCTTTACTAATTCCTAAGCCAGGGAGATGGGAGATATGATGGTATTGGAGGCCAAGAAGCCAAGCATAAAGCAGTAAGTAATAAATTAATGAAATGAACAGAATTTTTCCATCTTAGTAGTTCAGAGCGTGCCATAAAGGAGGGGTCTCAGCAGAAATCTCAGGTTTTCCATTTAAACCCTTGAAAAGCTTTGTTCTAGGAATAAAGACAAACGGGGGGTGGGGGGGTTCTCAAAGACTGAAATCCCCCTCAAATTATCTCAATATGGGATTACCATAGTAATCTTAGTTTACCTGAACTGACTGTCAGAAGTTTCTGGAGGAATATATTATCATTCAGAGCCTTTTCTTTTTTTCCACTTTAATTTTTTTAATTACCAGCTAAAATTACTAAAACACAAATTAAAAAAAAAAAAAAACATGGACTTAAAATATTGTAATTAATATGTTTAATAAAAAGGAATGACATAATGAAGAATTTTACTAGAAAACTAGAATCTACTCATAAGGATTAAATAAAAATTTTAGAAAAGGGATGAAAACACCAATCAGAAAGGATATATGCACCCCTATGTTCATAGCAGCACAATTTACAATAGCTAGGATTTGGAAACAGCCTAGGTGTCCATCAGCAGATGATTGGATAAAAAAAACGATGGTACATCTACACAATGGAATATTATGCTGCCATAAAAAAGAAGAAATTCTCATCATTTGCAGCAACCTGGATGGAATTGGAGAGCATCATGCTGAGTGAAATAAGCCAGTCAATGAAAGAGAAACACCACATGACCTCACTCATTTATGGATAATAAAGAACATTATAAACTGATGAACCAAAAGATAGATATAGAGACAGTAAAGCAACAAGCAGACTGTCAAATTATAGCTGGAGGGCAGGGAGATCTGGGGAAGATAAGAGATCAACTGAAGGACTTGTATAGATGCATATAAGTACAACCAATGGACACAAAACTCTGGGGAGGGAGGGCATGTATGGGGGGCGGGCAATGGTATATGTACACAGATAATAATTTAATTTTAAAAAGTGCTAGATCAATGATAAAAATAAATAAATTCATTTGTTCAGTCAACCACAAAAAAAAAAGATAAGAAAAAAGGCATAACAGACATATGAGATATGGTGAAAGGTCTAACATATTTGTAATTGAAATCCACAAGGAAAGGAGAAAGAGTAAGCAGAAGCAATAAGTAAGAAATATTGGCAAAGAGTTTTCTCAAGTTAATAAAAGATATCAAGTCAGAAATTCAAGGAGTTCTGCTAATCTCAATCAGTATAAATAGGAAGAAACCATCCTTAAATAATTATAGCAAAACTACTGAAAGCCAAGGACAAAGAGAGAATCTTACCAAAGGACATATTTCCTTCAAAGAACCAACAGTTAAACTACCAGAAATGATTTAACCAGAAAAATGATGGTACTCAGAAAACACTGGGATGGCATCTATAAAATGCTAAAAAAAAAAAAAAAAAAAAAAAAAAAAAGAAAAGAAAAGAAAAGAAAAGAAAAGAAAAGAAAAGAAAAGAAAAGAAAGAAAGAAAGAAAGAAAGAAAGAAAGAAAGAAAGAAAGAAAGAAAGAAAGAAAGAAAGAAAGAAAGAAAGAAAGAAAGAAAGAAAGAAAGAAAGAAAGAACTGCCTCTGTGGAACTGTATATTCAGCAAAAATTTCCTTCAAAAATTAAGATAAGGACATTTTTAGATAAACAAAAACTGAGCAGACCTATACTAAAGCAAGTTTTTTTGTTTTGTTTTGTTTTGTTTTTTGGAGTTAAATTATTTTTTTTCATTTTTTTATTAAGGTATTATATGTGTACATACCTTACCAATCCCCCCCACTCCCATACATGCCCTCCCTCCCCAGAGTTTTGCGTCCATTGGTTATGCTTATATGCATGCATTCAAGCCCTTCGGTTGATCTCTTATCTCCCCTATATCTCCCTACCCTCCCCACTATAATTTGATAGTTTGTTGTAAAGCAAGTTTTTAGGCAGAAAGATTATGAAAGCTTGGAAATGCAGAAAGGATTGAAAAGCAAAAAATAAAAAAGGAAAGGGTTAATATGTATGTAAATGTGAGTGTTGATTGTATAAAATAATAATACTTTCTAAGGTTTGTATTATAATATATATAAAATCCAGCTGGTGTGGCTTAGTGTTTGAGCATTGACCCATGAACCAGAAGGTCGCAGTTCTATTTCCAGTCAGGGCACATGCCCACACTGCAGGCTGGATTCCCAGTGGGGGACATGCAGGAGGCAGCCAATTAATGATTCTCATCATTATTGTTTCTATCCCTCTCTCCCTCTCCCTTCCTCTCTCTGAAATCAATAAAAAAACTTATAATAAATAAATATAAATAATAAAATATATATCATCTGTATAGTATATGTAGAAAAGATATATAGCAGCCGGGACCGGTTTGGCTCAATGGATAGAGCATCGGCTTGGGGACTGAAGGGTCCCGGGTTCGATTCCAGTCAAGGGCATGTACCTTGGTTGCGGGCATATCCCCAGTAGGGGGTGTGCAAGAGGCAGCTGATCGATGAATCTCTCTCATGGATGTTTCTAACTCTCTATCTCTCTCCCTTCCTTTCTGTATAAAATCAATAAAATATATTTTTTTTAAAAGATAAATAGCATACTTAAAATGTATATGAAATTTGTGGTACATTATAGCACAAAAAGAGAGGAGTTAGTGGAGTTAACATGTTTTAAATTTCTTATAATGCCTGGCAAGTGACAAAAATAACAAATTATGGTAGACTGTGATAAGTCAAAAATGCATATTGTTGCATCTCTAAAATAATGATCAAAGATTGTATAACTGACAAGCTAATAGAAGAGAAAGAAATTTAAACAAAAACAAAAACATAGTGTCATTCTACATTTAAATAATGAATTGTCTGATACTTATAAGCGGCACACTTTAAATGTAAGAACACAGCTAATTGAAAATTAAAAGTTAGGAAAAAAATATAATGAAACAGAGCAGGTATAGCTCTATTGATATCCAAGAAAATTAGGGTAAAAAGAATTACTAGATATTAAGAAGGATATTTCATGTTTAAATGTTTCAATTCATCAGGAAAATATAACAGTTCTAAATTTATTGCACCTAAAATATAGCCTCAAAATAAATATCCAGACCCAGAAATTCAGAGAAGGCTGAGAAGATGACTGAGACTGAGATAAGAGTAGGGTGGAGAGAGGAGGATAAGAAGTATTCCAGATAGAAGGAAGAACATTTTTAACAACTGGAGGCAAGAAAGCTTTATAAACTTGAAAACTTGCTGATAGGAAGAAAAGTAGTGGGAGGGAGGGAGATTGAGATTGATTGATTAATTGGTTGATTGAGGACGGGAATAGGTGAGAAGAAGATTGCTTGATGAGAGAAAGTATTGGTAAAAAGGGGCTAGAAAATATAAGAATCTTATATATTAAAATATGAGACGTTTTCCTGAAGACCAAGGGGTTCTTCAAGTATCATGTAGTGACTTCATGAAATTGTTTTCAGATTTCTTTTATAGTGCCCCATAGCTTATGAAATACTTAAAATTTTAGAGGTTATTAGACTCACCCTTGGATTAGTGAACAAGACACTTTGTAATAGATCAAGAGGTTGAGAAATTTTAAGGACCACTGTTTGTTTTGTTTTTTTTTTGGGGGGGGGGGGTTTTGTTTTTTTGTCTGTCTGTCTATCTGTAAAACCAACTGCAGGGCAATGTTGCTTTTCTTTTCCAAAGATCAGATATTGTCAGATCACTCTCAGTTGGACATGGCCTGAGTTGGTTGTATTTTTGCTAGCAATTGTGCTAACAATTAAACTCTATGACTTTCTGTTTAGTACTCTATCCTACTTTGTATTTGTGTTGGTTTATTTAGAATTGCAATCTGTGGGCCAGTGCCCAAGTCTATCCTGAAAAAATGTATATTATTTTAAATCCATTAAGCAGATTAGTGTAAGATGCATACACGTGGCTTCCTTGCCCAGGCACAACTTCTTAAGCCATATTTGTTAACATCCTTTCTCAGATGTTAATTCTGTCTTTAAAGAGAGACAATAGCCCACCAAGTAATGACTTCTATGCTAATGTGGTTATTTGGTTTATTAGCTAAGTACTCCTACTAGGATGCATTTTTTATAAGGACAAGAGCATTATCTCTTTTGTTCAAGGCAATATCCCCTGAACCTAGATTGGTACTCAGAATACACCAAGTGCTCAATATATATTTATTGAATGAATAAATGAATGACTGAGAAATGAATATATGTCTTATGCAAAGTCAACTTCACTAAAATAAGGTGGTTTTTTATTTTAATCTTATAACTTCATTTTATCTTCATCTTGAAAGTCTGGTATTCACATGTCTGAAAATAAAGTGATTCTTTTTCATATTTGCAGGACTATCTCAAGCAGGTGCTGGACATCGATCTTCATGCTCAGATCCATTTCGGCAGGGTTTTTATGAAACCAGGGTATGAGAATAATCTTGTTATCTCATATATGGGTTTGGTTTGGCTTGCTTTAACTAACAAAGCTTTAACCGCTTTCTTATATAGTCTATGATGGATTACCTATTTTAATAAAAGAAATATTATAGTAATAGAATTCTTTGCACAAATGCAGCTCCTATCTGAAATGGGTATTCATCTTCCTTATGAATCACTGAGTTTGGTATAAACAAAGCAAAGCAACTTACCAAACCTTTTTCCCTTTAATTCCTGTATCTAGTTCCTGCTTTCTCTTTTTCTCTTTCTCTCCATACTGATTCTTTGTCTCTCTTTAAAAACATTTCAGAATGAAAATTCTCAAACATACATATAAGTAGGAAGTACATTAAAGCCCCCATGAACCCATCACCTAGGTTCTGTAACTATCAACATTTTTTCCGTTATTGCTTTATCAGCCCATCTCACACCTTGTTGGGGGGACAAAGGGCTAGATTATAATAAAGCAGATTCTAGACATGTCATTTTTATATACATCTCAAATAATAGCAGCAGCAGCAGTATCCTCTTATGTAATCACAGTAGAATTACCTCATCTAACAAAATAAATAAGAATACCTTAACATCTAATACCCTGATCATATTCAAAATTCTCCTATGTGTTAAGAAAAAGAATGCCTTCTTATAATTGTTTTGTTTGCATTAGGATTCAGGTCAGTGCACTCATTGTTTTTGGCTGTTAAAGAACATTTAATGTCCCCCTCCTTTTTTTCATGCCATTGACTTGTTGAGGAAACTAAGTCATTTGTCCTAAACAAATGGATTGAGCTGATTGTTTCTTTGTGGTGGTATTTAATTTGTCCGGCACTCTCTCCAGAATATTCTATAGACTGGAAGTTAGGTCTAATGGCTTGATTAGATAAAGATTCAACTTTTTTTTCTTTGTGAGAATACTTAGTAAGTAGTATTTTATACTGCTTCTTACTACCTCCCAGGAGGAAAGAAAAATAACCAAATACTAAGATCTTGCACATATCCTAAAAACTAATAACTCCCTACGGAAGATCTGATGAAAATTCTACAATCAATTGTAAATCTTTAAAGAACATTAAACATTGGTGTTGATGAAATATTTGTGGCCATGTCTTCAAGCAGTTGTCTGTCTATTCAGATCCCTGCGACTCTGTAAATCTTTGGTTCCCTATTGAAAGGCTCAGTGTGTGGGTGAGCATTCCATCAGGGACAATAACAATAGTGCTATAGTTCAGAATTATACTCTGTTGGGGGCCCATGTGAACTCCAAGAGAGAGTAGAGGTGAGACTGTTAGGAACTGTGGGAACTATTACCATATTCCAGAAGCCTTTTTTTAAGTGTTCCTAGCCCTTGTAATCTCCCTGATTTATTGGGTACTCACGTCAGTTCTAGGATAGTGATCAGGCTTTGCTTCCATGACTTTGCCAATTAAGTATGAAGTTAAGATTATCCCTAAAGTTTTCTTTACAACTTTATAGAACTTAAAATTATTGGCATTTTAATTCTGTAGTTACTCCAATATGGCTGCTACTGACAAGGTTCTTTTATTATTGAAGTTGTTGGATTTGGATCATTCTTGTTAGGAATATTTTATCTTAAGCAAGTATTGCTATGGTATGGGTTCATGGGCTTTTTCTTTTTCTTTCCCTGTGGGCCATACAAATTTGATTAGAATACAGAGGACATCTCAAAAGTATATCAATGTGCTTCTCACTGACCCCCAAAGTTAAATCAATTATTTCCTTTGCAGTGAGAAAAAAGCTGGCATTACTTGCCCTCACCGCTAGAAGAGAATTATCTGTTCAATGTATATTTAAATTAATATCAGCACCTGTGATGTATAATTTAGTACTCTTTTTTAATATATTTTTATTATTTTTTTACAGAGAGGAAGAGAGAGGGATAAAGAGCTAGAAAAATTGATGAGAGAGAAACATCAACCAGCTGCCTCCTGCACATCCCCCACTGGGGATGTGCCCACAACCAAGGTCCATGCCCTCGCCCGGAATCGAACCTGGGACCCCTCAGTCCGCAAGCCGACGCTCCATCCACTGAGCCAAACCGAGCAAGGCTAATTTAGAACTGTTTTTATTTTCAGACTTTTATTTACTACTTATTTCAATTTTAGGACTTCAGTTCCCTTAAAGGCATAGTCCCTGTGACTTCACTCATTGTATAAGTTCTGTTACATTCTCATCTCGGGAGGGGAATTGAACAATAAGTGTTGAATTACAAGGAAATGGTTTCCCAGAGCTTAAAAAGACTTCACAGTCTAGCAATAGGACCTTCATGACAGCAATGCATGATAACAAAGTGTTTTGTTGTATTGAAATCTTTTTAAATTAGTGCCTTTAGATAAATCATAGCACCTGTCTGCAAGATGCAAGATGATTTGAATTGGCTTTAAGTACAGTAGATGGAAGGTGTTATACATTCCCTCTTATTATGCATGTTAGTTTACTAGAGTAAAGTGGTTTAGAAGTTTAAATGGGCTTATACTTGTCTAAAGGTAAGATTTTAAAGGTAATTGTGCCTAATAGTACAAGAACAAATATAAAAGCTCAGAACACTTTAGTCTTGCTCTTCCCACATACAGTGCATTTAGAATATAACTAACTTCTTTCATTTTAAACACAGAGATACTTAAAAAAAAAAAAGCATTTGTATTATTATCAACCAGATCTACCAATCACATTTTTTATGGGTCATCTACACTGAACATACGTAGCTGTTTTTGAGAATGCATCTTGGAAATTATTTTCATCATACAGTAACAATCATTGCCGAATAACCTATCCATAAATCAATATAACAATCTAATCTCATCTTTCTAAAGCACATCAAAGAATCAGAAAGCCCCAAAAAACACTCTCAGAGTAGTCAAAAATAGATGTTATGAAGTCTATATACAGCCTACCCTATATACGGAGCCTCATCAAATTATGTATGAGTCATACAGTTAGACAAAGCTTGGTTCAAATCTTTGTTTCCCCATTTAGTAGCTGAGTGATTTGGGTGGGGCATTGTTAATCTCTCTCTCAGTTTTCTCATCTATAAAATGGGATAATCATCACCTCATGAAATTACTGTGAAAATTAAATGAAATAATAAATGTAATTAATAGATCTTTTAAAGTAGTAACTTTTATTATTGTTATTATTATCATTCTAACAATATAACTATTATTACTACTCTCTAGTTCCCAAACCTATGCAAGCTTTAAGGGTCAAGATAATGACAATATAACATTAAGGGAAGCCACAGAAAAAAAACACTAGTGAAAAAAAAAAACAACAAATCCAGATGCCCTGACCGGTGGCTCAGCTGGTTAGAGCACTGGCCCATACACCAAAAAAAGTCCAGGTTTGATTCCTGGTCAGGGCATATACCTAGGTTGTGTGTTTGATACCTGGTCAGAGTGCATATGGGAGGCAACCAATGTTTCTCTCTCACATCTATGGTTTATAAGTGAAAAGAACACATAATACCCTTGTGACCCAAAATCACTGTAATTATAGAAGAGTAAGTTGATAATAATGGCTGTAAATCATAATATATATGTATATATATATATATGATCCATTTTTGAAAGATCAACCTGCAAAAACAATAAAAATAAAACAAATTTGGGTGTTTAAAAAGATAATTTTTCAACTATATATATGAAGTTTCATATATATGGAAACTTCATCACTCCCTAAGGATTCTACATCACTCAAGTTTCATTAATACAATAAAAATTTTAACTGAAATTCTATGTAAAGGATAGTAAATAGAAAACAATTACTATTCTTAACTTCCCACTTTCTCCATGCCCCTCACCAATACCTCTCATGCTAAAGATTCATATCAGAAACTTGGGTTATAATATGGGAATTTTCTATATTACTATTGCTTTAATTGTATTCTAGTTATGGGGGTTTTTTTTATTTACTTTGACATTTCAAAACACTCCTTTTATAGGAGGGAGGTTCTTATGTTTATTGCTGAGTACAGTTTTAAAGGGCTGAGAAATATTCCTTTTTGAGCAATAGGCAGTTATCTGATAGGCATGTATTATGAGGTAACCTTCTGATAATAAGAATGATGGTTATGAATCACCAGCAACAATAGTATAGACATCATTAGTTAGGTGGATAGAGAAACTCAAGGACTTGGGATACTCTTCTATGACACTGGCAGGAAGTGAAAAAAGTAAGCTACAGAAAACCAAGGAGTTTCATTACTTGAAAATAGTAGATGCTAAAAAAAATTAATTTACATGCTCTTGAAATACTTCAGGATATAAATATTTAAAGAATAAACAGAGAAGTATTTTTATATGACAAGCTTTCTATTAGAAGAACCGTGAAACAAGAAAACTGGAGTACTGAATTTACCTGTCATACCATTTGCAGAACTGATAATCTCTTTTTTTTCTCTAGCTTGCCAACGACATTTGCAACTTTGGATATTGATGGTGTAAGAAAAATAATTTTTGCACTACCAGGTAAGAATAATTGAAACAGTTTATTTTGCCTTTTCTGAAAAAAAAATGACCAAATATGTTTTTGAATCCCAAGTGACCAGTCCCCTATCAGAGTACTTGATTTGGAATCTAAATGACCTGGGCTCAAGTCCCAGCTTTACTCACTTGGATGAATCCCTTAACTTCACTGAAGGTGTTTCTTCATCTATAAAATGGGGCTAATTACTCCTTCTCAGGGTTGGTGTGAAAGTCAAATTAGATATTTCAAAGCACATTCCAAACCTTAAAATGATAACCAAGTATTAGCTGTCACTGGATCTTTCTGGGGCACCTGCTCTTCCTTACAGGAGATTGGTCAAAGTTAGCAACCTAACCGTGTCCCACAGCTTGAAGTATTGTGCTCAAGGGGCCAAAGGGCTATGAACCACATATGCAAATGCTAGAACAAAAAACACAAAATTGCTTTTGGTTTGGGCCAAATTTGGACCAGTTGGAGGGGGGTGAACAACGTGGAAGGAGGGGTATTGGTACTTCTCAGCCAAATCCCAAGTATCATCAGTCTGACCACATCACTGTCCTCACCCTCACTGCCAAGTGAGCAGAAACTCACAGGTTTGGATAGTGGTTATTTCAGCAGGGAAGAGGATGTGAATAACACTTTTTAATGTATTTCGGTATTCTCTAAAAAGCCAGTGGTTCCGTTCATAAGAACTTTTGAATTCAGCTTTTTACCCATATTTTGGCTGTCTATTTAAAGCCGTGCTTTTAAAGCCATTACTAATCTTGAAAAATCTAAAGCAATTGAGAAGTTTTGTATATCTTCTTGTTGTTGTTGTTTTTTCCAACTTTAACAAAATTATCCTCTAATCTGTAAGTGTCCCATTCTCTTTTTTTAACACAGGTTCCTTCAGAAAATAACCTACTTACTTGTTTTATAACCTACTTACTCCTTTGAGATATCTATTTGCTTTTTGTGTAAAATATGTCTCATAATAGAGATATAAAGAAAAGAAAGCAGGCAGGAAAAATATAGGACTTAAAAATCATTTCAAAGCCCCAAAGAGTTTATAAGCAAAAAAAGAGATTAGATTTCTATCATATAGGAAATTTTAAGAGAGAGGACATGTAAGGAAAGTAGTCTTCAAAATTTATTTAGTATAGAACTCCTTGGGGCCTTTAATATATCCTTAAATATTCTAAAAACCATTATATGAAAATTTGATCCTCTGCCTGGCTTTAATTTGCCTAGAAGACACTATTTACTTTGTCTACAGAAGCTATGACTCAGCCTATAGCCCATCACTGACAAAAGGTTGTTACAGTGGGAGACTAGTTCACCATTACTGAGGAAGTACTGTTTGTCTACCAAAAAAGTTATAATTAACCTGTATTCAAATTATTACTTTCATTTGAAATTTTCTCTGCTCAGCCTGAATAAACCTAAAGAGGGCAGCAGGAGTTCACATGTTCAGATTGTAAATCCAGCAAAGCGGTTCGTTTTACAAGGATTTTAAAATTCAGAATTGTATTTCTGCTTTTCCAAGATCCATGCATTTAAAGCCATTACTAAGCTTTATAAGTTTTAAAGCAGTTTAAAAGTTTTGTGTATCGACTTGCTATTTTTGTAACTTTTTAAAATTCCTGAATAACACATTCACTGTCAAAACTTTAGAAAATGATAAGTATTAAGAAATGTTATTCATAATCCTCTTTCCCCTGAAATAAACACTATCTACAATTTTTATATCAGTCCTTCCAGTACTATTTTCATAGAGTAATTTTATAAAGCAATAGCAATTATAGGAATTCTATAATTATTGTTAAATGAACTGTGTTGTGTGTTTTTTCCAAAAAAAAAAATCATTTAATTGTATTTTTGAGGCGAGACAAGCAATTGATTTTTTTTTTTTTTAAGTATTACATGTGTCTCCTTTTCACCCGATTAACCCCTTTCCATCTTGGATCCTCGGCCAATTCCCATCCTCAGGACAAGCCCCCACCGCCCCAGTGTCCATATCCAATGGTTATGCTAATATGTATGCATACAAATCCTATGGTTGATCTCTTAGCTCACACCCCACTCCTGCCTATTAAGTCTGTATTTCTGTTGGACAACTCATTTGCCATTGAAATAATATCACTCATCACCTTTTATAACTTAAAAAATGATATTCTTAACTACTTTGTAAGTAGAAGAAAATTAAAAGTATGGTTTTAGCTAATAAGAGGCTAAATCAACCATTGCCTTTTACTTTGATGATACAATTAGCAGCACATAGCCAGGCCAAGGGGAACTAAAAATCTAATAGCCCATCATATATCTCCAATATATACATACATTTTTACATACAACTGTATGAAAGTATTAATAAAAATAGAATTTTAGAACCAGAAGAATATTGAGAATCATATAGTCCAATCTTTATTTTGTGAATGAGTTAAGTTAGACTCAAAAAGGTTTGGAACTCACTAGGATCACACAGCTTGGTTAGGTAATGTACCACACAAGAAACTACTATAAATGTGTTTTTTTCAGTCCGGTCATTTTTTCACAGCCTACCTATCTTTAAAGTGCATGACATAATCAGATTCCTTCTTGGGGAGGTACAATTGAATTTCTCAAATTTTTATTATAACTCTAAAAGAACTTGGTGTTTGAATTAGTCCACTCAGCCTGCCAGAACAGAATATCACAGACTACATAACTGGATTGTAGATAACAGAAATCTGTTTTCTCACAATTCTATGGGCTATATGGACACAAATTTAGTTTCTATTGAGGTTTTTCTTCCTGGCTTACAGATGGCTATTCCCTATGCCCTCAGGTGGCCTTTCCTCTGTGCACAGGCACTCCTAATGTCTCTTCCTCTTTTTATAAGGACACCAGTTCTATTGAATTAGGGCCTCACCCTTATACCTCATCTAATTTTAATTACTTCTCTACAGGTCCTAACTCCAAATAAAGTCACATTGGGGGTTAAAACTTCAACAAATGAATGGGAGGGGAAACAACACAACTCAGTCCATGCAATATTTATCTTCAAGTCCTTCACCTTTTAAATAATTTAGTTTTCTTTTTTAAACTTAAAGAAATGTCTCTGTGTAGGGGAATATGGATATTTCTTTATGCTTTTCCTACTTTCTAATTTTCTTTGTATTGAGCATATATTACTATGGAAGTTTTCAAATATATTAATAATAACAAGTAGACAACTATAAAAAAGGGAGAGGGTGAATGGGTGGACATCTGTAATATTGTAAACAATAAAATAAAATAGCAAGTAGAAACTGCTTCAAAACTTACCAAGATTGGTAAAGGTTTTCAATGTATAGCTCTCACAAAAGAAGAAATAAATGGTGTTAACCAACCTCTGGATATCAGAAGTCTGCGTTTTATTGGTAGTCCCAGAAGGTTGCACCATCTATGGCATTTGGTTGACTATACGGCTCTATTCTGGCATCCTTTTTTGGTCAAGGTGATTCAGAAGAAAAAGACAAGTAACCATGTCACTATATAACCTAGAGGTATAGACAGTCATAATTTTTCGGTAAATTTTATGTGATACTACAATAACTGCATGGTTGACTTTCAGGGAATCCTGTGTCAGCCGTGGTCACCTGCAATCTCTTTGTTGTGCCTGCACTGAGAAAGATGCAGGGCATCTTGGATCCTCGGCCAACCATCATCAAAGCCAGGGTAATGTTTTCTAATGACCAGGAACCAAAATAGAAGCCTAGTAACAATTAAGATATGATCTAGATATAGAAACATCTCAAGTTTCATATTAGTTTTGAGAGGAAATGGGTTTATAGGCTCTCCTTTGTGGTAGAAAATAGGGGAAAAGGACCCTTTTATTCCCCTCCCACATTATTTCATGACTTCTAATGTGAACAATTTTCTCCAGCAAGAAGTCCATATGGTAATGGAGATATGACAACTTGATGCAACTGATTCTTGTTTCTTAGATTAATATGAATATCTCCTTCAAAACAACCCCATTTTGTAGATGAACAAACAGGTGTCAGAAAGCAGAATAAACTTGCTAGTATAGCCATAAGTTAGCAGTAAAGCTTGAAGTAGAACCTAGGTACGGGTAACATTCCATTGTAACATTTGTTCCACTGGACTGCTATAAATCAATCGGTGCATTGTTGCGGGGGAGAACCTGCTTAAACACTTAGCAGATCACACAGTCATATGAATAGCTCTTGTAGTTAGCACTTGAAAACACACAGATATTTAAAGAGATATTTTTGCCCTCAAACACAAAATAATTTAAGAATAATGCAAGTTAAACCCCAACTGATATGAAATAGAGTATAAACATAAACAAGATTAAATGAAAGAGTGGAATGTGATTTAATACTGAATTATATTCTACATTCCAGAGGAAACGCATGGATTGTCAGAATGAATAACTAGCATACTTAAAAACATAGTCACCAGAATGGATTGGACATAGACTTAACTTAAATCAAAATTTCCAATTTTAATTATATCATCCAATCTAAACAATATCTTTGTTAGAGCTAAAGCCTTTCTAAATCATTTTAAGGTAAAGTGATTTAAATTATTATTATGCTAATAAAAATGTTAATTCTTGTTCTGGCCAGTGTGGCTCAGTTGATTGAGCATTATTTCATGCACCTAAAGGTCACCAGTTCAATTCCAGGTCAGGGCACATGCCTAGGTTGTGGGCTTCATCCCCAGTAGATGACAGGCAGGAGGCAGTGTAACAATGTTTCCCTCACATAAATGTTTCTCTTTCTTCCTCTCTTTTTCTCTCTCTCTAAAATCAATGAAAATATATTTTTTAAAATTAGACCCAATCTTTTCATCTGCCTCTTCCCACAGTATAAATACCAACTTCTTGGCCTTCTTTTCTCTTTTCATCAGAGCAACCCAACCTCTGGATTTCTGTATTAAAAATATAAGGTGGGCTGTATCTGGTTTGGCTCAGTGAATAGAGCATCAGCCTGAGGACTGAAGGGTCCCAGGTTTTATTCCAGCCAAGGTTGTGCACTTGACCCCCAATTGGGGCATGCAGGAGGCAGCCAATCAATGATCCTCTCTCATCATTGATGTTTCTATCCCTCTTCCCTCTCCCTTCCTTTCTGAAATCAATAAAAATATTTTTTTAAAGAATATAAGGTAGCAGTGGTGGAAAAAGCAGAATACCAAGTTATTTTTCATGTCCACTCTATCTATTCTTTGCACAACTTCCACCACCCTCTAGTTCTAAGAGATGATCCAAAAATTATCAAATTTGTTTTGTCTTCCTCTTTATTCTATAGTTATCATGTGATGTAAAACTGGATCCTCGCCCAGAATACCATCGGTGTATACTGACTTGGCATCACCAAGAACCACTGCCTTGGGCACAGAGTACAGGTTAGTCTTTACACCTACAGGTACATCTGCGCACTTATTCTGCTATAACTACATGTATATAACTTCTTTCCTTGGGTATACCCAATTTGGAATTATTATATATTTTCCTCTTTGAAAGATTAGATGAATTAAATATTCTTAAACATACAGTATAACAGGACAAAAGAATAAAAAATTATAATAAGTTTTTTGTTATCCATGGAGCCATGTTTTCTAGATAACCATTTGAAAACAAATCTATAATTATGAGCAATTTTTATATATTAGTTCGACCAGTAAGTTCTGAGCATAATTTTTGTTGAAGGAAAAGGAAGAACTGTGGCTATGCCACCTTGAAACATGAGAATAAAGCCCAATCATAATGTGATTCTCTAGAGCCTCCACTATAACCTAGATATTAGTAAAATTTAAGGACTAAGAAATCAATATTGATAATTCAGAGTTCTATAGTTACCTCTTCTAGACTTTAAACTTTTATCCCCAACTTTTCTAGTCATATTTTACCTAACTTTTGATGTAACTCCAGTAAAATTATACTGCCCTTGAAACAAAAGTCCTGTCAAGTGCAGATATCAACTAACAATGTGACTAAGTACAGAGGCCTTGCCATAAGAAAGTAGGACTCTAAGCAAGTTACCTCAACACATTTGAGTCTTGTGAGAATTCAATAAAATAGTTAAGTAAGCTCCACCAGATGGTTCAGTGATTGAGCCCTAATCAGGAATTGAACCAGGAGGTCACTGGTTCAATTCCTGATTAGGGCTCATGCCTGGGTTGCAGGCTCAATTTCCATCAGGGGGCCTGTGGGAGGCAATTGATCTATGATGTTTCTCTCTCGTCAACATTTGTATCTCGCCAAAACCGGTTTGGCCCAGTGGATAGAGCGTCGGCCTGCGGACTAAAAGGTCCCGGGTTCGATTCCGGTCAAGGGCATGTACCTTGGTTGCAGGCACATTCCCAGTGGGGGGTGTGCAAGAGGCAGCTGATCGATGATTCTCTCATTGATGTTTCTAACTCTCTGTCCCTATCTCTTCCTCTCTGTAAAAAATCAATAATATATATATATATATATATATATATATATATATATATATATATATATTTGTATCTCTCTCTCAAATCAATAGAAACTTTTTTTTTAAACATGGTTAAGTAAAGTGCCTACCACCTTGTCTGGCACTTAGTAAATACTTCTAAAGAAATGGTAGCCGTGCTGTTACTATCATTATTTTAATAGGTTTTAAACATCTTTCTTTTCAGACACACATAATAGTTCAGCATGAAGAGGAAAATCAAAATCATGTGGTGTTTTGCATAATTCTATGAATTCCTGGTTTATTCTTTTGAGCGATAATGTCTAATGCTTATTTTTAGAGTTTAGTGGCAAGGTAGTAGAGTAAAGTAGCAAGGCTACCTGAAAAGAATACTGGGAAGTCTGATCATCTCTCTTCCTCTTGAAGACCTGTGGTTCTATTCATGAGTTCTTACTTTGGAAGGCACTAGAGGGGCTCCAGATGGATCCACAGTGATGCTTCTGCTGCTGCAATGAGAGTATTTCTTTCTAGGTAATCAGATGAGCAGCCGTCTGATGAGCATGCGCAGTGCCAATGGATTGTTGATGCTACCTCCAAAGACAGAGCAGTACGTGGAGCTCCACAAAGGCGAGGTGGTGGATGTCATGGTCATTGGACGACTATGATGGTCACCAGCGGAGAAAGCTTTGATGCATGTCCACATATCATTGACTGTATCCTGTAATATGCAACGGCACAGCTAGTTTTTCTGATTTGGATAAAAGTTGATCTGTATAGTCAACATCTTGAACTATATTTCAAAAGAATTTAAATATCTTTTAAAGAAAAAAAACACCTAAAAAAATAAATCTTAACAGATAACTCTATTCTGATTATATCAAAGCAAATTTTTCCTTTCTTGCAAATTGCTTTGTGTGTTCAATGCTAGGTCTGATAGCGATAGCTTTTAGTAGACAGCAGTAGGTGCCTGCAGAACTTGTGTTTTTCTCATCTTTAAACAACTACTTATGCTCTCAAATCAAGGCTGTCTGCTTATTTATACTAGTGTAGGCAACACTTGGATTCCCTTCTTAGTATGCTTCATAACCGCTTTCCAGAGAGCTTTCGCTTGTTCTTTATCATGTATCTCGTGTTTATGTGCACAGTGCCAACAGAAGAGCGACTGGGGGAGGCCCTGCCCTGCCTCCAGGAGAGTCATCCCTCACAGAGCTTCCAGGAAGTTTCTCACCCCAGGAGCCTCATGGCACAGTACTCTTGGGCAGTAACTGGATACCTTTTATTTGAACAATCTAACTGGGGGGAAATGCTTCCTTAAGTGCTGACAGCCTTTTTAACCAATACATTTAAAATTGTACAGAAAAAAAATATAAAATCAAAGACTGATCTTGTACAGATATTAGTGTTACCAGCATTCATGTGGAAATCAAGAGCAAAGAAAAAATAATGATAAACAACTCTGTACCATAACATTTTCTGTAATGATACTGAAACTTAATGAATAAAAAAAAAATCCTTGATCATTATATAAAAATTCATTGTGTTGGCCTTGTTATTGAACATTAACATGTATGCTGATGGGGTTCTGCCTGGATGAAATGCATATTAAGGTTGACTCAGCAAGATTAAGTGATATAAAGGAGATGTAAAATATGGCTCCATATAACTACTAGAGGCCCGGTACGTGAAATTCATGCCTGGGGGAGGGGGGGTCCACTCAACCTGGCCTGTACCCTCTTGCAATCCAGGACCCCTCAGGAGATGTCCAACTGCAGGTTTAGGCCTGATCCTACAGGGATCCCTCGAGGATCAGGCCTGAACCGGCAGTCAGACATCCCTCTCACAATCCAGGACTGCTGGCTCCTAACCGCTTGCCTGCCTACCTGCCTGATTGACCCTAACCACTTTGCCTGCTTGCCTGGTCGCCCCTAACCACTCACCTGCCTGCCTAATCACCCTAAATACTCTGCCTGCCTGCCTGATCACCCCTAACCACTCTGCCTGCTTGCCTGCCCCTAACTGCTTACCTGATTGCCCCTCAACACTCTGCTTGCCTATCTGATCACCCATAATCACTCACCTGACTGCCTGATTGCCCCTAACCACTCACCTGCGTGCCTGATCATCCCTAACCACTCTGCCAGCCTGCTTGATCACCCCTAACTGCTTGTCTGCCTGCCTGATTGCCACTAACCACCTCTGCCTCAGCCCCCACCTTCATCCAGAAGGACATCTGGAATGATGTTGGGAAGGTTGTTCAGCTGTCTGGTATAATTAGCATATTTTGCTTTTATTATTATAAATATTTTACTATAGTATTGTGGTCTGTAGCTTTGTGAAAATACAGAGTAGAAGAGAACTTATGGTTGATCTGGTGTTTTCAGTCATAGCTAGAGAATAAGAAGCAAGTTTAAAGCAAAGATAGTTGATAATTTAGGAGCAAAATAACTAAATTCTTATGCCATAAACACAAATTTCAAACACCTACAGTTCTTTGGAATGGAGGGAAAACGTAAGTAGTGCACCATAAAATTTCAGATGAGTACCTTTTTTTTAATCATGTTCGAAAAGAAGAGAGAAATGGGAATAATCTGTGCTGATCATAGAAAATGCAACAAGTGAAATATACTCATCCAAGTGCTTCCTTTAATAAAAATTTAAGGGCACTTTTTAAATGTTACTAACAGGACACTGAGTATGCTGTGGGTTATTCTTAGTAAAGCAGACAACAAAAATTGTCCTCTTAGTAAACAAGGTACCAAGTGATGAATAAAACCAAGTTGTAAACAATAAATATTTGATACTAATATTTCATATCTCTAGAGTTGAAAATACAATGCCCTGTATTTTAAGTTTTATACTTGCAATTAAAGAAGATAAGGTTAGTTAATAGAGATCAAGAGAAAGATTATGAACAGAGATTTATCTATATTCATTTAAGAAATATTTAAGGATCATCTAATATGTGCTTGGGAACAAAGTATATCATGCTACTATTTACAAAGATGTACATAGTAGCTAACATTGAACTCCATCAAGGGAAATAATCAAAACACATGCAAATAACCATAATATTTTATATGTTTGATACTTGAAAATACATAGTAGAGTGTGTAGAATATGATGAATGACATTCAGATTTAAAGAGTTGGAGAAGTTCAAATGTTAACCTCCTATAAGGTAAGATTTCAAGCGACAAGATGGCATTTTAATGGGTCTTACAGGAAGTGTATAATTTTAAAGATGATACAGGAAAAGGGCATTCCAGAAACAGAATTATTGGCAATTAATAATAATTATTTCTATTATAAGATGTAAGCTCCACGAGGGAAAGAATTTTATTTTATTCACGATCATCCCAAGTCCTTAGAAGATTTCCTGACATATGTGTAGGCATCAGTAAATATTTGTTCAATGAAATGCATTATATAGAGCTTCCTATATGCCCATCACTTCATTTGTTTAATTTTCACAACAACCCTAAAAGGATTATTATTTTTATACTAGAGGCCTGATGTACAAAATTTCTGCAAGTGTAGGCCTTCCCTTGGCTGCTGGCACTGGCTACTTCTGGCACCCAGGACCCCGGCTTCCCTCCAGCCACCAGCAGGCACTTACAGCCCTGGCTTCGTCTGGAAGGATGTTTGGTCTAATTAGCATATTAGGCTTTTATTATTATATATTATAAATGAGGAAATTAAGGCACAGAAAGATTTAAGCAACTTGTCCATGGTCACTCAACAAGTAAGAGGAAAAGCCAAGATTCAAATTTAGCAATTTGGCTTGAGAGTCCATATCTTAAACACTAAACTATAGAAACAGAAAGTTGATAGAGAAGAGGGGAGGCCATTGGAGCATCTTATTGTGGAGTGTTGGAAGAAAAAATTCATGAATGGAATGGAAAAGAGAACATTTTGTAGAAGAAAAGAAACCACATAGAGCAGTGTGCCAAAAACCAAGGAGGAGAGTTTCAAAAAGGAAGGATAATAAACTGTAAAAAAGAAATGTCAAGAAAGATGAAGGCTCAGAAAGATTTGTTGGTTAGGAATTGTTGGTGAGCTACATAAGTGTAATTCAATAATGGGGTGAGGGCAAAGTCAGATTACAAAATGGAAACTATAAACTTGTGCATGAGGAAAATTGACATAGGATGGTAGCTTAAACCAATAGCAAGGTGAAGGAAACATGTTTGTGTGGGTTTGGCTTTGAGAAAAGAGAAACAATAGTAGCAAGCATATTAAAAATTCAAGAGTAAGGTTTCAGGTGGAGAAAGGAGCAAGGAAGGGCTGGAGTTAAGGACCCTTGTGGCCCAATTAGGCTAGAAAAAAAAAGAAACATTTTTCCTTCTGAGTTTGAAAAGAGAAAAATGTGAACACGTTTGAAACAAATACAAAGGGGATTTATATTTTAATTGAATTTACTGGGGCAACATTGCTACATAAAAGCATACCGGTTTCAAGTGAACAACTAACTCAACAAAACATCATCTGCACACTGCATCATGGTGTCTGTTGTCCCTAGCAAAGTCTCTTTTCATTCCACCTCCACTTCCACCCACCGCTCTTTTTCTCTGGCTAACACCACACTGTTGTTTGTGTCTAGGTGTTATAGAAATATACTAAAGCCTGATGCATGAAATTCATGCAAGTGCAGGCCTGCCTTCCCCCACCTGCCGGCACTGGCTTCCCTTTGGCACCCAGGACCCGGGCTTCCCTCTGGCAGCCAGCAGGCACCTGGACCCAAACATCCCTCGAAGCCCCGACTTTGTCCAGAGGGTCGTCCGGAAGGACTTCAGGTCTAATTAGCATATTATGCTTTTATTATTACAGATATTATATATATAGACATACGCGCGCGCACACACACAAACACACACACACACACACACACACACACACACACACACACACACACACACATATATATTAGAGGCCTGGTGCACCAAAATTCATGCACTCAGAATGGGGGAAGGATCTCTCAGCCTGGCCTGCACCCTCTCGCAGTCCAGGGCACCTCAGGAGATGTCCGACAGTCAGACATTCCTCTTGTAGTCTAGTACCCCTCACTCCTTACCACCTGCCTGCTCGCTGCTCCTTAGCGCTGCCTCAGAGGCGGGAGAGTCTCCTGCCATCGATGCTGTGTTCATCAGCAGTAAGCCCGGCTTCTGGCTGAGTGGCGCTTCCACTGTGGGAGTGCACTGACCATCAGGGGGCAGCTCCTGCATTGAGTGTCTGCCCCCTGGTGCTCAATGTGCATCATAGCGACTGGTCACTCCACCCCTTTGGTCAATTTGTATATTACCCTTTTATTATATAGGGTGTGTGTGTGTCTGTGTGTGTGTGTTTTGCTTAATCCCTTCTTTTATCCAGTCCCCAGCCTCCTTTCTCTCTAACAGCTGTCCGTTCCACGTATCCATGCCTCTGTTTCTATTTTGTTCACCAGTTAATTTTGTTCACTAGATTCCACATATAAATGAGATCATGTAATATATGTCTTTCTCTGACTGGCTTATTTTGCTTAGCATCGCAGTTTCTAGATCCATCCATGCTTTCACAAAAGATAAGATTTCCTTTTTTTTTCTTTTTTCTTCTTCTTTTTTTTTTTTTTTTTTTTTTTACAGCTTAGTAGTGTTCCATTGTGCAAATGTACCACCGCTTATCTTAGCCAC